ACCGGTATTTATATACAAATTTTTGAATCAATTGCATTAATAAATTCAATGAAAATTGGTTTCCAAAATTTTTTTTTCATAGGGGAAGGAGTTAACTATTCACAAACGAGATGGGATGCAAGGAAATGGGCCGATAGTTTTGGATAATCTTAAAAAGAGGAAATATCAGAAAACACTGCCTTCGGTGTGTGGTGAATTTTTGTCTGTACATATATATCTTATTAGTTCTAACGCGAAATTCATCAGGATGAGCTTGACAAAAAGAGAGGGAACCCCATTATTCATGATCAGGAAGCATATCAATGTCTAAAGTCAACTGCGATCCAGTTCTTTACAAAAACGTTTAATGGCATGTAATTCAATATTTTAACTTGACCAAATTATTCTACATGCTGATTTTAAAAGATTTTTATTCTAGCGCTTGTCGTTTCTGTGAGAAAAAACTTCGAATCTGGGCATGATCATCCTCAACATTTTGTCCATTTTTCCTATATTGTGTGGTTCTTCCTTGAATTTCGAAATCTTTTACAGTATAATACATCGTCGACAATAGCATATGAACCGGAACTTGAAGAGCTTACAAACTTATATTATAGTTTTGACCTTGTCCGTGCTATTATGAACTATGAAGGATTCTTATTGGTATTCGAAAAGATCTCTTTTTTTAGAAATAACAAGGTTCGTGAATATATTGAGAAATATATTTCATTTTTCCGCAAACTTAATACTGTTAATTTAATTATACTAATTTTTGACCATAGCAATGGTCGGACTTGCATTTTGGGTTGGACTGTTTGAGACAAATGGCAAATATTTTCTCTATTTAAGCGGTATTTAATGGTAAAATTATGATGCCCGGTACTAACGATATTTAAATCTAGTTGTTAACCATACGAGCGATGAAGAGATTTGATGATAAACCTATTCGTTACAAAGCAGAATATATAATTAACCAAATTTACCAAGAAAATGATTATTTGAGAATGATGATGTTGCTTGTTAAAGAATTTAAAGATCAATCATTTGGGTAAGTCAGTTATTTGATTTTTTTACTTGCATTAATATCAAGTATTAATGAAAACTCATGACCATTAATATATTAAAGGTACCTTCAAAGTTTAATTGCAACCATCCATGTTCTTTTGGAAAGGCTTGAAAGTTGCTCAGAAACTACCTTCGTAATTGAAGAAGGTTCAAGAACAAGGCCGAGTGCGGAAATTTTGAATTCGAATTACTGTTTAATAATAATTAGTTATGTAACAAATTCATTTGATATACTTTGTAATCAGGAATGAGTTCTAAAATGGAGGAAGAAGGCCCAAATACAGATGATGATTATGAAGAGATAGAATATGTTAAAAAAAAAAGAGAAAATTTAATAGCCCATCGAGGCGCTTTTAAAGATTATCAGGAGGTAATGTTTTTAATATGTGCAGCATAATTATCATATTTAATGATCATAGTGTTAATAGATTCTAATTAATAGAGTTTTGTTAATGAATCCATAATCTCAACGTATTGCTCTTTGCTAGAGTATTATGAGAGAATTGACTCTGAAAGCTTCTATCACATAACCACTGCATTTCATCGAATTATTGTTCGTTGTTCAACGGATGCTATTGCTATCTTCTTTAAGGTAAGCACGTAATTATTTTCATAATTTTCAATATAACTCTAACTCAATCCATGGTTGCAGCTTTCCATTTTAGAACTTCTGAACCGTATATCGATTTATTTTGAAGGACTGCAAACATTGACAACATCGCAAAGTGAATTTAAAGATTTTATTAGGCTTGTTTCAGAAAGTTTTTTTAATTACGCTGAAAAGAACGATTTGATGTATTGCGAGGTTTGATTAGCATTATTTTATCGAATAGGTGTAGCCAAGTGAAAACTAGGAAGCCTACATATAAAATAATATTTTTATTTTATAGTAATCTATATTTAGACTGCCTGGTTTCAATTGGCGGCACTCAAGCAACTTGGAAAATTTACAAGTATTTATTTAACTGTTTTTAATTATAGGTTTTCTGTCCAAAAACAAAACGTAATTTGGCATGTTTGGAAACTGGTTATAAATGTTTGAAAGATGATTATAACCGCAGCGACGATGATGTATCAGTTAATGAAAAGGATTTGTCGGATAAAGACTAGACAGTAACCGATTAAGACCGAGTGATTTTCAGTCCTTGATACATATTGTCCAGTCTTGGTTCAGATAATAACTACAAATTACTTGACTGCTAAAAAAAACTATTAAAAGAAAATAAATTGCAAAATAATAAGTTTATAATTCTTCCCAACGATAAGAGTAACAAAGATTTCGTGTTTCGTTTTCCAATATTTGACATAAGTTAAAAAAAAAAATTTAATACTGAATTGATAAAACAACCCTAGTGGCACCAACGGATTCAGTTTTACAGTTATAACGAGGCTTATATTAAAATTTTGCAATTTATTAGTGCGCAGGTGGTTACATGGATGAAATTTTGGGTTTTTAAAAAAACGCGTGATTGTCGTAACTTAATTACAGTACAGCAGTATATAGCGATAGTATAAAGTTATCGTAAAGTCATCAACCACTACCACTAAACACGAGATTTTACCGAGTGAGTTAGGAATTAGGTATCGGGAAAATCAAAAAAAAAAAAAATCGGTGGAATTTTGATATTATCATTATGTACTATAATTTTTTCTAGCTCATGGTGAAATTTGGGGTCTCAAATTGAAAATATAAACCCTACCAAAGTCCTAAATCCTAACAAAAAAAAAGCCGACAAAAAGAGCCCAAAAAATTTTAATTGAACGTACGTACATAAAGTGGATCCAAATTTCGCCACCATCCACAATAAATAGTGAAAACCTAATCTAATAACGGCCAAATTTTTAGTAAAATTTAAATTGGCGATGCTATGACAGCCTTACATTCAGAGATCTTTTATATGAATATTTATGTTAGTTACGAAAGAAAGCTTTTTAAATGAGTTCTGAACGAAAATTAAAAATTCTCGCATTATAAATTTTATTCGCTGTAATAATATCAATAATT